GTAGCTCAGATGGTAAAGAATCTGCCTGCAATGCAGGAGACCTGGGTTTGATTCCTGGGTTGGGAAGACCCTGTGGATAAGGGAATGGCAACCCACTCCAGTATTCTTGCCTGGAGAATCCCATGGACAGAAGAGGCTGGTGAGCTACAGTTCGTGGGGCCACAAAGAATCGGACACGACTGAGCAACTAACACTACTACTACTGTATAGTAAATATTTATATCTTACTTTTACTTTTAACCTGTGGCTTCACATTTGGAGTTTCTTATGAACATGATATAGTTGGGTCTTGCTTCCTTGTCTAATCTTTCTACTTGCATTTTAGGTGTTTAAACATCAACATTTAATGTGATTACTGATATTACTAGATTTAAATCTAACATCTTGATATTTGTTTTCTGTATCATTTTCCCCCCTTTTCTCTTTTTTTCTGCCTTCTTTTAGACGAATACAGTATTTTTATATGATTCCACCTTAACTCCTTTTTGGCTTTTTAGCTATAAATCTTTGTTTTATAATCTCTCAGTGTTTCCTTTAGGGTTTACATGTGACAGCTACTGTGACTAGTGTGTGTGTGTGTGTGTGTGTGTGTGTGAAATTGCCCGGTGGCCCAGATGGTAAAGAATTTGTCTGCAATGCAGGAAACCCAGGTTCAATCCCGCGGTCAGGAAGATCCCCCTGGAGAAGAGAATGGAAACCCCCTCCAGTATTCTTGCCTAGAGAACACCATGGACAGTTCCATGGACAGTCCTCTGTCCATGGTGGACTATAGTCCATGGGGTTGCAAAGAGTCAGACACGACTAGTGACTAACACACACACACATGTATGTATATGTGTGTGTGTATATATATGCACACACACACACATATATATATGTATGTAATCCTAACCTCATAAGGTAAAAGTGAATACCCCTATTTTGCAGGTGAAGGAAAAACATATTGTTGAAATTATAAATAAATGTCTCAGAACAAGAATTAAAACCCAGGTTTGCCTGACTCCAAAACATAGATTGTATTATTAGGAAAATAATGCAATAACTTTCAATCTTGATATAATCAGAATCCCATAAAAAAGACATAAACTAAAAACTAAATTGTTATTAAATTTTAAATTATTGAATATATATGTGAATATTATAAAAAATACAGGGTCTAAATGTAATGGATTGGCAGAATTTAGAAATAAATTCAAAATATGGTAATGTTATCACTCTCTCTTTGAAGCTACTACAGTAAAACACAAGGAAGAAATTAGCTATCTGCTGAAGTAAACCTTACCCTTAAGGCAGTTGTTTGCCTTAAGGCAAAGTTTTTAAATATATTCCAATATTTTTAATGTGTAATGGAAATTTATTTTCATATATTTATAACTGACTAGTGCCTAACTGAAATCAAAATAGTATTTGAAAATATAACTGCCACTAAAATGGTTTTAGAGGTGCTAACCCCCTTATAATCCCTTGCCTCCATTTTTAACCATATAGACACTCCTAAAACATTTTTGATATAGAAATCCTAGAATTCCCATTGTTTCAGAAAAAGAATAAGAGGAAAAGGAGGCCCCACCAATGGATGAAGATATTCTGGTCTCCTTCAAAGTTTAAATCTTATGGCACTTATATCCATGAGTGCTAAGTCACTTCAGTCATGTCCTACTCTCAACCCATGGACTGCAGCCTGCCAGGCTCATAGATCTATCTATCTATCTATCTATCTATCCATGTATTTTGAGAAAGGGACTTAATGGGATGATACCATTTATCAGATAATAAAAACTGACTCCATCCTTACCAATAACAGTTTTGTTAATTAAGATACCAATTGCATACAATAAATATTGCCAATATTAAGTATACATTAAAATTTGTATATTAAGTGTACATTAAAATTTGATGAATTCTGGTAATTGCATATAATTGTATAACCACTTCTACTATCAAGGTGTAGACTAATTCCTTCACCCTAAAAAGTCTCCTTAAGGCCTTTTGTCCTTGATAAGCTTGTCTCATGCCTGACTCCAGGCAATACTGATACCCTTTCTATTACTGGTAGCTTTACCTTTTCTAGCATTTCATAAAAATGGAGCTGCACAAAATGCAGTCTTTTGTGCTGACTTCTTTCACTTTAGCATGCTTTTAAAATTCACCCATGTTGCTGTGTATATTGCTGAACAGTATTCTATGGTATGAATACACCATAATTTATTTATTCACTCATCAGGTGATGAAAATTTGGGTTGCTTTATGTTATTAGCTATTATAAATAATACCATTATGAATATTTAGATACACATTTTACAAGGATATATATGTTTATTTTCCTGAAGTACATAAAAGGAATAGAATCCCTGGATCATAAGGTAAAATATGTCCAATTTTATAAGGTCCTGCCAAACTGTTTTTCAAACAGGATATACCATTTTTGCATTCCTCTAACAATGCACTGGAGTTTCAGTTGCTCCATATCCTTGTCAACATTTAGTATTGTCAGTCTTTATTATGTTAGCTATTTTAGTGGGTATGTATTGGTATCTCATTGTGGTTGTAATTTGTTAGGCAATGTTTCAATGAAAGAGTTGTATTTCCAAATTGCATTTTCCTATTGGCAATAGGGCTTTCCTGGTGGCTCAGATGGTAAAGCATCTGCCTGCAATGTGGAAGACCTGGGTTTGATCCCTGGCTCGGGAAGATCCCCTGGAGAAGGAAATGGCAACCCACTCCAGTACTCATGCCCGGAAAATTCCATGGACGGAGGAGTGTGCTAGGCTACAGTCCATGGGGTTGCAAATAGTCAGACATGACTGAGCAACTTCACTTTCTATTGGCAATAAATCAACTGACTTACATATATTCTGATTTGTTAATAAGAAATCCATGAAGCTGTGTAGCTTCTATTAGTTCCCTAAAATCTGATCTACACTGCATGAATGATAAAGACTCTTTGAATCTATGAAACTAAAGACTAGATCCTATACTTTTCTGTAATTTCATCAGAGTATTGCATACCTGTGAGACCTAACCTGAAGCAGTCAGGTATCCTGCCTCCCTTCCTTCCTTCCAGTCTCCTAGTCATCCATTTTTCCAAATATCTACTCTATTTACAAAGATGTGTGTTAATTTTGGAAAATTAAAATGAAAGATATATATAAGAAAGTAAAAATAATCCATTCAGTTTTACCTCCCAGAGACCACCACCATCAACATGTTAATGATTTTTTTCAGATTTTTCTTTATGTAAAATAAAAATAGACTATGTTATTATAATGAACTATTTAACTATTTAATTAAATTCTTAAAACAACTGCGTGGTAGATCATATTTTAACCCCATCTTACAGATAACAAAACTAATTTTTCAGTACTTTGTCTCAAATTACAAAGCTTAGTAATTCGCAGTATTGACATTCATATTGAGGGAGTTAGTTTGATTCTAGACTGCAAGTATTAGGTTGGTACAAAAGTAATTGTGGTTTTACATTGTTGAACTTTTCCATTTGATATTAGAATACATTCTTAAACAAGTGTGGTTATGTTATAAATCATTTTAATTTACATTTCTCCCTTTAAGTTTTTTGGCTAATGATTACTTGCTGTTTATATTTGTTTTAGACTATAGAAATGATATTAGACAAAAAGTAAAGTCAAGCATTTTTTTTAATTCGAGTTCAAAATGGTTCATAAAACAGCAGAGATAACTTGCAACTGCTAATGAATGTATAGTGCAATGGTGGTTCCAGAAGTTTGGCAAAAGAGATGAGTCTTGAAGATGAGGACTGTAGCGGCCAGCTATCAGAAGTTGACAACAACCAACTGAGAGTTATCACTGAAGCTGATCCTCTTATAGCTACAAGAGATGTTGCCATGGAACTCAATTTCGGTTGACCACCCTATCGTCATTCAACATTTGAATCAAATCAGAAAGGCAAAAAAGCTCAATAAGTGGGTGTCTGATATGCTGACCAAAAACCAAAAAAATCATCGATTTGAAGCATTGTCTTCTCTTATTCTATGCAAGAACAATGAACCATTTCTTGATCTGATGAAAAGTGGATTTTATGACTACCAGTGACAACCAGCTCAGCGGTTGGACCAAGAAGACGCTCCAAAGCATTTCCCAAAGCCAAACTTGCACCAACAAAAGGTCACGATCATACTCTTTGGTGGTCTGCTGTTGGTCTGCTTCACTACAGCTTTCTGAGTCCGGGTGAAACTATTATATCTGAGAAGTATGCTCAGCAAATTGATGAGATGCACTGAAAACAGCAACACCTGCAGCAGAGATTGGTCAACAAAATGTGTCCAACTCTTCTCCATGACAATGTGCGACCACATGTAGCATGACCAACGCTTCAAAAGTTGAACAAGTTGGGCTATGAAGTTTTGTCTGATCCACCATATTTACCTGACCTCTTGTCAACCCACTACCATTTCTTCAAGCATCCTGACAACTTTTTGCAGGGAAAACACTTCCACAACCAGCAGGAGGCAGAAAATGCTTGCCAAGAGTTGATCAAATCCCTAGGCACAGATTTTTATGCTACAGGAATAAACAAATTTATTTCTCATTGGCAAAATTGTGTCGATTGTAACGGTTCCTGTTTTGATTAATAAAGATGTATCTAGTGTTAATGATTTAAAATTCACAGTCCAAAACCGCAATTACTTTTGTACCAACCTAATACTTAACCATAATTCTACATTGTCTACCATATTTTTGTCTCTGTGTGTGTGTGTGTGTGTGTGTGTGTGTGTGTGTGTTCTTTGTATGTTAACTCATGGTTATATTTACATAGTACTTTTATTTAACCAATACCTAAAATTTTATCACGTTTTCTCTTATTCAATACTACAAATAACATTGCAAAGAACACTCTCTGTAGTATTACCCACTTATCCCCTTAAGATAATTCCTAGTGATGGGAATGCTTAGTCAGACTCTATGCACATTAAAGATTTATTATGTAGTCCAAAATTGCCCTCCAGAAAAGTTGTACTTACTTCTTCAGCAACTGAGCTTGAGATTTTTCCTTTCCCTGTATTCCTGCCAGCATTGGTCTCTATCCTCACCAGTTTTTGCTTTTTTATAGTCTCTGCTAACCTGAAAGTTAATAAATAATATCACATGTTATTTTATTTCATTTGCTTGTTATTGGAGCTACATTGTTAGTCTTTTAAGATATACAAGTAATGCATATGTATTCATCAAAAGTAGTGAAATAATAGACTGATATGAAGTGAAAGTAGAAGTCCCACCTCCCATTTTTCTCATCAGAAGTTTCATTTTAACAGTTTAATATACAACTTTGTAGAGTTTTTAATGTTCACTTATATATTTATGTATAAATGTTTAATTTTCTTTTGATACAAATGAAAACATCTTCTGCAACTGGCTTTTTACACTTGAAAATATGTCTTAGAGAATTTTTTGTTTTCCTTTAACTGTTACACATTATTTCACCATGTGGAGGCACAATAATTTATTAAGCCAACTCTGTTGATGAAATTTAGATTAATTACATATATGTCAATAAATATATAAATAAGGACATACTATATACCAGGACTGTTCAATAAGTGAATAACAAATAATAATATAAATTAATGAACAGAATAATATAATAAATAATATTATATGTAAGAATATAATAATTTAAAAGTCCCTGTCCTGATGAGATTTCCATTTTTCTTCAGTGGACATTCTCATACATTTTTGCACATGTATGAGTGCAAAATGTCTCTGTAGCTGTGTTAACATTTAAAATTTTTATATATAAACATATAATGGGCCATCAATAAATACTAATTGAGCAAAAGAATAAAGATGTTTCTCTAAAATTAAGTTAGAACTTAATTTTAAATTTAACTTTTCTCTAAAGTTAAATTATAAAATTAAAAATAAGGAGATATGTTTTATTTGCTGTGCATAGTAATTACAATTTTAAAAATTAGTTTTCAACATTGAAGAAAGTAATTAACTAAAATGAAGATTTCTGTCATCTCTTGGAAAATTGGAAGGTCTGGTAACACTGGGTTCACATTTGCCTAGATAGCTACCACAAAGTGATGAGTGCCACAGTCTTCACCATTCCAAATTGTCTTATCCCAGGTTACTTCACTCATTTATGTTATCTGACTGGCTCCTATGGCTTCCAAATTTGCCATTCTACATTAGATGGCTCAGATGGTAAAGAATCCACCTGCAATGCTGGAGAGCTGGTTTTGATCCCTGGATCTGGAAGATACTCTGGAGAAGGGAATGGCAACTCATCCCAGTATTCTTGCCTGGAGAATCCCGTGGGCAGAGGAGCCTGGCGGGCTACAGTCCATGAGGTCACAAAGAGTCAGACATGACTAAGTTACTAAGCATAGCACAGCACATTATGGAGTAAAGAAAAAAGATATCTAAAAGAGACAAAATTACTCTCAGGTGTATAATATTTAACCATGACCTAATGCAATATATTAATTCATGTAACACAATCTGTGTCATTCAGAAAAAGGATTGATCAGTTTGGAAGCACAGAGAAAGGAAATTCAGGAAGTGAATGATGGCAACATCCTTCCAGACATATTTTGGAAATACATTAGCCAAAATTTCAAGCTGGCCACTTCAGTGGCAGGTATAATACAGTGGTTAAGAACACAGACTTTAGAGCTAGGCTGCCTGGATTTGAATCTTGGCTTTGTCACTTATTAGTTCTAGAACTTAAGGCAGTGCTATGAACTGAATGTTTGCATCACCCCAAAATTCATATGTTGAAGTTGTAATCCCTTATATGATGGTGCTTGGGGGCAGGGCCTTTTGGAGCTGATATCGAACTCTCATGAGTGGAAATGTGTCTCTCCACCATGTGAGGTTACATCCACCCACAGACCAGGAACAGAGCTCTCATAAGAACCTGACCATATTGGCACTCTGATCTCAGACTTCCCAGCCTCCAGAACTGAAAGAAATAGCTGTTATTTAAGTCAACTACTACTATAGTATTTTGTTAAAGCTGCTCAAGCTGACTAAAACAGCCAGGTAATTTAACTTCTTTGTGCTCAGTTTTCTCATCTGCAAATGGGAAAAACAATGTATCCCACATCATAGGTTTGATGCTATGTTTAAATGTCTCTATACCTAAAACATTTAGAAGAGTGCCTTGTCCATAGAAGTTATCATTATTAATATAAATGCATCAGATACTCGTGTAGGATGCCCTTCAATTTACCTTCCAAATAATAACTCAATTACTTTTTTCCTAAGTCTTCACCAAGGAACCTTCTGATGAGTCCCTGTATGAAGTGACTTCAGAGAGATGCACTGACTTGAGATGTAAATCCACACATACTCTCTGAGTAACTACCTACAGAGTTTTTGATTTGAGCATCTGACTCTTTATCAATCAGTACATCATTTAGATGTGCTGCCAAGGAAGCAGAATTCAGTGACAGCTTGCAACTTATTACCAGCAACAGTGTTTGGCTATGAGAGTTTCCCCTAAGTAAACTGGCAAGGAACTGAGTTTTTTTAAGCCAATTTTCCATTCACCTATTTTGTTGACTCTGCAAACTAATCCATAATGATTTATAATAGTTTTGAGATTGTAGGAAGTGAGCTCACAATGGCTTTGAATGGTAAATCTTGGGCAAGTCATTTCAACATAGTATAAAAAGTATCAATTTAGACTATACTGATATAAAATTTAATTTGTTGACATTGACTGGGCTGCTGCTACCTTTACACTATCCATGTAGAACATTATGCATATAGGGTTCTGGCTAAGCCAACTTTTCTTGAAGTTTTGGCAAATTGTTGTTTTAGTCACTATGTCTTACTCTTTTGCAACCCCATGGACTGTAGCCCACCAGCTCCCTGGATTTTCCAGGCAAGAATACTGGAGTGGGTGGCCATTTCCTTCTCCAGGGAATCTTCCCAATCGAGGGATCAAACCCATGTCTCCTGCATTGGCAGGTGGATGCTCTACCACTGAGCCATCTGGGAAGCCCTTTGGCAACCTGCTTATTGACAAAGGGATTGTTGTTGCAATGAGAATGTCTTTCCCCTCCCAAGTACAGAGAAAGCATTTTTTTTACGCTGGGCTTTTATCTCCTGCTTTCAGAAATAAAAAGGAGGTCAGACTGCCCTTCTTGCACCTGCTATTTCTCAAGTGCCCTTAGTTTAAAATAATTAATATGTCAAAATGGCATATTTGGGGTTGACATGCTCTGAACTCCTTTATCTTTGTTTGTAAGGTCCACCTATTCCTCTTGTTCATTTCTACCCATCATCCAAGTCTTTTTCTTTTTCTAGAATTTATCCTATGAATTCAACTCATGGGACTCTTGCCATATGCATCACATAGCTTGCTGCTTTCAAAATATGCCCTCTTGTATTGTGAATATTTGTTTTATGCATTTGTCATCTCTCTCCAACTACATTGCTAGCTCCTTAAATATTTGGCTCATTTAGTAAGTGTCCACAATCACACAACTTTAAAACTGCATTTTAGATGCTGAAATTGGTACGCAGACTACCACTGCGCTAGTCACCCATAGTAAGAGTAGTAGAGTTAATGAGAACATCATGGTGGTGGTGGTTTAGTCACTAAGTTGTGGCCAACTCTTTGTGACCCCAAGGACTGACCGTAGCCTCCCAGGCTCCTCTGTCCATGGGATTTTCCAGGAAAAATACTGGAGTGAGTTGCTGTTTCCTTCCCTGGGGGATCGTCCTGACCCAGGGATTGAATCAGTCTTCTGCTTGGCAGGTGAATTCTTTCCCACTGGCCACCTGTGTAGCTGAGAACATTATAGTATAATAAAATCGAGTGCTTACTATATACTGGGTACAAATTATGTATATATTTATTTATTTAATTCATAACAATTGGCATCATCCTTCATGGTTTTCTTCATCTCACATTCCATATTTAGCTCATGTGACTCTATTAGCTCTACCTTCAAAACAGAGCCAGAACCTTCCCACTTCTAATCCAAATCACCAGTACCATCCTGATTCCAGGCCCCATCATTTCTCTCCAGGCTTACTGCAAAATCCTCCTAATAGCTGTATTCTCAATACAGCCCTTTTAATGTTTTAAGTCATATTTCTGTTCAAAATGCTGCAAAGACCACTCACTTCCATAGTGTGAAAGACAAAGTCCTCAGTGGCCTACAAGAGCCTATGTCACTGGCAAAGCACACGAGATTCCATGAAAAAATAAGATGAAATCTAGGTGTCCAGGTCCAATTTCTTTTGTGTTTAGTTTCACTTACTATAGGGGATCTGTTTAGAGGTCTTGCCCCTAAAACATGGATTAGAGTTCTAGTGCAGAACTGCTACATCTGACATCCCAGGACTTAAGTGCTGAACAATACAATACCCTGAACAACACAACTGTGCCCCTTCCTGTTGACAAAAACCGCATAAAGCAGCCCTGCCCATGGCCTGTGGAGGAGAGTTTGTTCTTCTAGAACTCACACCTCTCCATTCTTTGACCGAAGGGTAAGGCAGCTCAGTCCAGTATTCTTGCCTGGGAAATCCCACGGACAGAGGAGCCTGGAAGGCTACAATACCAGGGGTCACAAAGCGTAGGACATGACCGAGCAACTAAACAACAACAAAGCTCTGCTTTGCTTCTGAACAGAACCAGGCAGGAGGACCCTTGTTAGAGCCTAACTTTCAAGTGTTGCAGGAATGGGGACCGCTTTCAGGGCCCAAAACTGGGCTTTTGTCTAACACTCGGAAATGAATTATCTAAGGAGACACATGTGCTGACAAAGCAAGAGCTTTTATTGGAGAAGTTTGCCTGGGCAGTTAGGGTAAGGAAACCCAGGAGAACTGACTGTTCTGCAGTCTTGGGTTTTATGGTGATGGGGATAGTTTCTGGGTCATCTTTAGTCAATCATTCTGACTCAGAGTCCATTCTGGTGGTGCACACCTTGTTCAGCCAAGATGGATGCCAGCAAGAAGGATTCTGGGAGGTGGTCGGACATGTGGTGTCTCCTTTTGACCTTTCCTGAACTCTGCTGGTTGGTGGTGGCTTATTAGTTCTGTGACACTTACCAGGATCTCCTGCTGTAAAACAACTCATGCAAATAGTTACTATGGTACCTAGTCAGAGTGGGTGGTTTCAGTCAGTGTGCTTCCCCTAACAAAAGGATTGGTAATATGAGACAGGCTGGGACCTGGGACCCTTTGCCACAGTGCTTACACCTGAACAAACATCTCTCCAGGAACAAAATACAAAGAAACTTTAAGGGACTAAAAATAAATGCTTTCATGAGAAGTATACAAGATACAAAAAGACCAAAAATATTCTAACTACCACTTCTGAAGAACTGGGCACAAACACAAGGTGTTGGGAGCAAAAGGAGGAGGGTACTGTGCGTGCTCCCTGCACTTAACATCACCAATGTGCATGCATGCACATTGGTGGACAAGTCATTTGCCATTTCCTACTCCAAGCGATCTCCCCGACTGAGATCAAACTCACATCACTTGTGTCTCCTGAACTGGCAGGTGGATTCTTTACCACTGTGCCACATGGGAAGCCCCAACACTACTAAAGAAGTGGTGTGTGCATGCTAAATCGCTTCAGTTGTGTGGTGTGAGACTCTTTGAAATCCTATGGACTATAACTCACTTGGCTCCTCTGTATATGGGATTCTCCAGGCAAGAATACTAGAGTGGGATGCCATTTCCTCCTCCAGGATATCTTCTGGACCCATGGATTGAACCTGTCACTCTTAATTCTCCTGCATTGGTAGGCAAGTCCTTTACCACTAGTGCCACCTAGGAAGCCCCCTAAAGGAGTGGGCAAACCACCTCAGCCACCCAAACCACCCCTCCAATATGACTTCTGGACACACCGCTACCCTCACCTAATATCAGGAACCAACTCATTCCCTGCCTCCAGGAGTGAGTAAGGGAATCTGTTATTTGTTTTCACTGTCCTCTGTTTGCCTGAAGTTCTTGTCTGACCTCTTATCAATTTCTATTGATTGGGCAAGCCAAGAACACTGACTGGTATCAATAATATGATGCTCCTTCCTCCATCACTAGAAACTCCTTTCGCACTTTTCTGGGCTGCTTCAGCAACACTGGCTAGCCTTGTTTTTCCACAGACACATAATGCATCTAAAGTCTTGGCTCTAGTTTTTTCTTGTGTGTGTGCGTGTGTGTGTGTGTGTGTGCACATGTGTGTGTGTTAGTCACTCAGTCGTGTCCGACTCTGCAACACCATGGACTGTAGCAAGCCAGGCTTCTCTGTCCATGGAATCCTCCAGGCAAGAATTCTGGAGTGGTTGCCATTGCCTTCTCCAGGGGATCTTCCCGACCCAAGGATTAAATCTAAGTCTCCTGCAAGCAGCAGAGTCCCTGTGCGACCAGGGAAACCCTTTTCTGCCTAGAGTATGACAAGTTACTTACACAGTTGACTTTTCTTCAAGCTAGCAACTGGTCCGTCACCTTCCTGATTCCTGTCAAACTCTATATTCTTTTTCACACAGCACTCCTTTTCTTTTAATATACTATGCAACTTTTTAGCAGAACATTGCACCTCCCCACCTCCACATACACTCACAGGAGTAAAGTGGGACATAAGCGATTTTTATTTTATTCATGGATGTATCCCAAGTATTAGGGGAAACTGACTAAAACCATCCACCCTGGCCAGGCACCACAGTAACTCAGGTTGCTTCCTGGTAAGAAACAAGGAACTAACAAGATGGAAGAATTCGGGAAAGTTCAAAAGGAGACACCATATGTCCTACCAACTTCCCCAAATCCTCTTCACTGGAATCCATATTGGCTGTGCAACGTGCATGCCACCAGGAAGGATCCTGAGTCAAGAGTGATTGACCAGAAACAACCAGGAAACTAACCCCATCAACATAAGGCCTGAGATTGCAACCACGGTGGCAGGGCAGTCCTTCTGGGCTCCCTTACCCTTCTGCTCTGCGCTGGGGCACCCCGTTCACAATAAATTTTCTTGCTTTGTCCATACCTGTGTTTCCTCAGACAGTTCACTTCCAGAGTTAGACAAGAGCTCGTTCTCAGGCCCTGGACAGGGGCCCCCCTCCTGAAACACAAGAGCCTGAAACAGAGCCAGCTACCCAAAAGGCACTCAATGAATACCTGGCGAGAAAGTTTAGAAGCTAGAATTTCCTTCTGCAAGGCTGCTGGTCTTTGGTAATCAAGCCTTAATCAGCTTCCTAGCCTCTTTATTACAGAGTGACCAAAGCCCAGGGAGCCTAGCGGTTCTGGGAATAGCTCCAGAAGGAAGTTTGAGGTACTGAGGAGATCAAACCTAAATAACTGAAGGGTTCGGTTCTTTTAGATGGGTGGCTGAGCTAGTAAAGACCAAAGTACTCTCCCTTTGTACGGCCAAGAGTGTTTCGATTGGTAGCGTAAGTGACTTTGAACGTTTTCCTACCCAAACAAATCCAGTGCCCCCGAGCCCAGCTCTGCGATGCGGGCCTTGCCCTTCCCAGGCAGCTTCAGTGCCCTCACTTAGGTGGTTAGGCCGCGCCTAAACAGCGTTCTTTTCCGGGGACTCGACATCCGTGACTCACGGACTAGGCGCCAAGTGACGCGTGCTCCGCGCCCAGGTATAACTCTGGCCGCCGCACGGGCGGCAACGCCGGTTGCCTGACAGGCGGCGGAGCGAACAGGCGCTTGAGGCCCCGGGCACGTCACGGCGGGGGCGACGGCAACGGCAGCGACTTCCCGGCTCCCACCCGCGCTCGCCGCACGCACGCGCACTGCGCCCAGCATGAGGGTCGCAGCTCTGATCAGGTAACGCGGCGTCCGCGCTGCCTTCGTCTTCCCTGTCAGCTTCTAGTCCTTTCCGACTGACCGGACGGGAGCCGCCGCCGCCGCCGATTTGGCGGTGTCCGTGCAGGAGCCGCTCGTCGCGGGCTCCGCGGCTCCTCCTGGCCGCAGGAAGAGGCGGAGCCTTTGGGCTACAGCCTGCTGGGTCCCAGGCCCTGGGCTGGTACTCCTCTTCTCTGCCTGTCGCCGCCTCCCTGGTCGTCTGGACTTCAGACTTGGGTTCAGATTGGATTTACGTTTTAAACTACTGATGCCTGGGACTCACCGCCAGAGCGTTTAGTTAGTCTGACCCGGACCTGGGTCGGATTCTCAAAAGCTGTAATGGGCCGTGGAGTTTGAGAGGCAGTACTTGACGCCACTTAGTGTCCCCTAGCCTTTTCTCTTCGTTTTCTTCTCAGGATCCTATCTTTCTACGGGTCCTCCGGCTCAGCCTTATTCCCGAGGTTGCTACCAGCCCCGCCCCCTCTCACAAAAGACCACCTGTCCCTCTTCTGCGTCCCAGTAGTGACAGGACTGCTGCTGACGAGGATGTGCTTTAGCTTGGTGTCAAAGATAGAGATGGAATCATCCTGTTTTATCCTAGATCCAGCTGCCATTGCTTTGGAGACTCATTGCGTTTAGAAAAGTGACTTTATGGTAACATACTCCATATTCCAAAAAGAGTTTGAAATCTATAGTAACCCATCATGTTTAGGTGTCTATGATGACCAAAGGCTAGTCAGTTTAAATGGCTCCATACTAGTTCTGTGAACGGAAACAAAATAACAACATGCAATAGGGAATTTAAACTGCTTGAACGTTTATTTGACGAGAATTGGATCGATGTAGAGTGAGTTGCATGCAGCTATGCAACCTGGAAGATTTCATGAAAATCTTTGTTCAGTGCCTTAGGAAACTAATACTGGCTGAAAACAGTGTGACCCACTTAGAACTCTTGATATAACATCTTTTACTTCAGTGCCATTGTTAAGATACTAGACTATAGTGCCAAAATAATTATTTTTATACAGTGAATGTCTTCTGTAAACAATGATTAAGCTTTCAGCATTATGAATGAGCTTCAGTTGATATAGATCAGTAAGAATAAAAAGCAGTCCAGGAAATGAGTAATTCACATCCACATGCAGTTTACCAAAAGTTTAACCATTCAAGTAAGACATTTAACTAGTCTCAGAAATGTTGGAGGGAAAGAGAGAAGAAAATTGGTATAATTTATTACACTAAATATTGTGTGCATATTTTACTTTTATAATAAAACTAATTACTTTTTTTAAAGAAGCAGTGTTGGAAAATTGTTGCTAAATTGTAAAATTGTTGCTAATATATATAAGATCTATATAAATGTTGGAAGATATGCTATAAGTTGGAGTACAGAATGTAATATGTACATATGAATGTGCGTGTGTGCGTGCTTAGTCACTTCAGCTGTGTCCTACTCTCTGCAACCCAATGGACCATGGCCCGCCAGCCTCCTCTGTCCTTGGGATTCTCCAGGCAAGAATACTGGAGTGGGTTGCCATTTCCTTCAGTGATAAAGTGTGAAGTGAGTGAAGTGAAGTCGCCCAGTCGTGTCTGACTCTTTGCCACCCCATGGACTGTAGCCTACCAGGCTCCTACGTCTGTGGGATTTTCCAGGCAAGAGTACTGGAGTGGGTTCCCATTTCCTTCTCCAATATGAATGTGAATGCATACATAATACATATATACATTTGTATGCACATACACTTGAATGTATTTGATTTTAATTTAATACTATGAATCTACTTGTAATAAGTATGTTTAGTGTGTGTATGTGGGTACACTAAGAGATGAGATATGTGTGTGCATTCTAGGGAATAAGTGAAACCAATATTCTTACATATCTTTAGACCGTGAAGAACATTATTTTCCTAATTCACAAAAGATTGCGTCATTTAATTTTACAGTTGAATGGCACCTTGAGGATTAGGTAGGCCATTCTCTAATTTTATAACAAAGCATATAGACCCAAGCACAATGAGTAACTTAGCTTAGTATTCAAGAATTGGGAACCAAACTTATGATCTTCTGTAGGATGTCTCCCCTAACATATGTTATGTATTCTGTGATGTTCTAAGAAGTGAATAAGGGACTCAGCCTTTTCCAAACTTAATTTCACCTTGAAAAGCTTATGTTCTTAGAGCATTTGTTGGACACTGTTGTCCCACAGGGGGCTTCCCATGTAGCTCAGCTGGTAAAGAATCTGCCCGCCATGCAGGAGATCTGGGTTCGATCCCTGGGTCGGGAAGATCCCCTGAAGAAGGGATAGGCTACCCACTCCAGTATTCTTGGGCTTCCCTTGTGGCTCAACTGGTAAGGAATCCACCTGCAATGTGGGAGACCTGGGTTTGATCCTTGGGTTGGGAAGATCCCCTGGAGAAGGGAACGGATACCCACAGGGCACAGTTTGGGAAATACTATTTTAAAATCATATTTGAGATCTTAGCATATTTTAAAATAAAAGGCCAAGTTCTGATTTAGGATATATACCCTTTAATCTTTAATATTCTAAATATTCTAAAGAATTAGATCATTACATCCTGCAGAAATCAAACAACGAGGTTCAATAGAAGTTATGCAAGATATACTTATGGGAATATCAGAATCTGAGGGATGAGAGTGTGATATGTAACTTCACTTTGCCCTTTGCAATTTCCCTGCCCTTGAGAAGTTCAGGAATAACTGTTGTTACTGATCAGAATATGGTTATTGTCATTTAGTTGCTAAGACATGTCTGACTCTTTTTCAACCCCATGGACTTAACCCACCAGGCCTCTATGTCCATGGGGTTTCCCAGGCAAGAATACTAGAATGGGTTGCCATTTCCTTCTCCAGGGGATCTTCCTGACCCAGAGATCAAACGGAGCTCCTTCATTAGCAGGGGATTCTTTACCACTGTGCTACCTTGGAAGCCCTCAGAATGTGGTGAAAATGAAAGTCTCTCAGTCATGTCTGACTCTTTGTGACACCATGGACTGACTACACAGTCCATGGAGTTCTCTAAGACAGAATACTGGAGTGGGTAGCAGTTCCCTTCTCCAGGGAATCTTCCCAACCTAGGAATCGAATCAGGGTCTCCCACTTTGCAGGCCAATTCTTTACCAACTGAGCTATCAGGGAAGCCCTCAGAATGTAGCAGAGGCTGACAAGTGCTGCGAACTAAAAAGGCAAAAGGGCCAGCTTCTAGGATAATCAGTCTGTTAGTTTCTTTGCTTATGAGTAGGTCTAAACATTGTCTGGGGGTACATTTGCAGATTTTAAGCAAAGATTAGAATGAAAGGAAACAGGAATAAAACAAAGGGAGGGAGATAATGATTTTTAAAAAAGAAGAAACATGCATAGATAGGAGCAGTAGAGTGTTTAACCAAAATAGTATATTGGTTGCAATTCAACCTTGTTAAAGATGAACTAACACTGGTCTTGAGTAAGTGATTTGCCTTAGATAGATTTGGTACCAGAATTTAGAAGTTCCTCAGGCCTTATCCTGCCATCGAATGTGGTGATGGTTGAAAGCTGAAGTACTTATAGTACTGATGTTTAACTTTATCAGGGTAATTCAGCTTTTAGATTTCAACCTCTGCAGAATTTGAACCCACCAAGTATGTCAAACTTTGTCATTTGACTGGATCTCAGATCTTTAATTTGATCCTTTAATTGGTGCTGGTGACCATCATTAGCATTCTCAAAGTGAGAGAGAACAGGTACTTTTTCATAGAAAATTTCATCTGAGAAGTATATATAATGTGTTCAACTGGAATGTAAAATTAAATCATTTTTTATTTACAAAACACTTTATATATTAAAGCAAAACCACTATCAAAAACCAAAGAGTTACAGTTTTAGCATAATCTTTGTTATGATGGCATATAATTTCATCAGCCCTTGCGAGTAGCAACTTGAGATATTCTGATTCCTTTGATCAGTTGCATATGCTGTGGAAATGACACATTCTACTGCAAAATAAGTCCCTCAAATATTCTGAAAAGCTGGAAAAAATAATGTGTTCTATTTTGATGTATAATGAGGCTATGTTAAATATGTTAAATAAATGAGGCTATGTTAAATAACAGTCAGTAACCTGATATTTATTTGTCTCCTTATCTATTTATTTTTTTAGTGGTGGGAAGGACAGCTGTTATAATATGATGCAGTGCGTTGCTGCTGGGCATCAGATTGTTGCTTTAGCAAACCTAAGACCTGCTGAAAACCAAGGTAAGTGTATACATATATTGGAAAGTTCTCTAAAAGACTGAAATTCCAGCCTTATAATTGCATTGTCTTATACACAATATGCAAACAATTAATGGGAACTCTTATATCTTTAGCACTGTTTAGATGCTACATTCTGTGCTAAGTGTTTTCAATTATGTAATCTTTAATCCTCCTAAGAACTCCTAGAAATTTACTCCTAAGCAAAGATACTGAAGCTTTGAGTTTTATAATTTTGTCCAAGGTAAAATAGCTAATACAAACTTGTAGAGCTGACACGTGAATCCTCTTACTTCAGAGTGCACTGTTGTTCCACTACAACACTTTTCCAAGTGTTGTTGGCAATGCACGGGTAAATAACATAGAACTCTTTGGAGCTTGGAAAGTAAGACATATGTGAATAAATGATAATACATACACTTTGTTATTAAAAGCATTCAGTTTAGTCATCTTAGATGTTAACTAAATGTGTGATACTTGAGAAAACCATTGAACAATACATTTCCACTTTTTATTCATCTGTGGTAATAAGGACATCTGCAAATAATCCACAGACCTTATTTTAGCTACTTTTTTCAGTTTTTCTCCAATGAAATTTCTCCATTTAGATGTTTTTTTTTCTGTGTCCATGTTGGTATCCAAATTTCCTCTTTTAATATGGACACCAGTCATGTTTGGTGAAGGGCTCACTCTAATGACTTCATTTTAACCAATTACATCTTCAATGACTCTATTCCCAAACAAGGTAACATTTTGAGGTATTAGATGTTAGGACTTTACTCTAAGAATTTGGGAGTGACACAGTTCAACCAACAAAATCTTTTTTTTTAATTGAGATATAATTGATATATAATACTGTATTCATTTTATGTGTATAACAGTGATTTTATATAGATGTATATAATATATACATATATGCACAACAAGTTTACTTTACATCCATCACCTCACATAATTATATATTTTTTTTCCATCAGACTTTTAAATAAAAGAAAAATATTCATTGATTTGCTTTTTATAATCTTTTATTATACCCATGCAACCATAGATATTAACTGTTGAAATGTAATAGAGGGAGATTAAACTTGTCTAACTGGATTACTGCTTTTCTACTAAGATCTTTTTATCATCCCCTTTACTCAGCTTCTTTTAAAATTCCATGCTTTTACTCTACTATTATTCTAGGATTAATTAAATTAGTATTATATGCAGAAACACTAATAATTCCTGGCGTAAAGTGGGTCCCCAATAAATTTAGTTTAATCTGAGTGAGTAAAAGTGAGTGTTAGTCGTTTAGTTATATCTGACTCTTTGCAATCCTATGGATTGTAGTCCACCAGGCTCCTCTGTCCATGAAATTTTCCAGGCAAGAATACTGGGGTGGGTAGCCATTCTCTTCTCCAGAGGATCTTCCTGACTCAGGGATTGAACCTGGGTTGCGGGCCGATTTTTTACCATCTGAGGTATCAGGGAAGCCAGTTAAATCTGAATCTTGCACTAGATATTTTTCTTCCTTCCTTCCTTCTTTCCTTCTTCAGTGCTGCTGGCATATTGAATTTTTATATCATTTTACAGTTGTTTTCTATTTATTTTTTTTATGCCCAAATAGATTGTTTTTAAACTTCTTGAGAGGAGAGGTCATATCTTCTATATTCCTTTAATTGTTCCTCAGTACTTGGGACAGCTCTGTGCCCCTGGTAGGCATTCACTCAAGGTTTATTGATTGACAGATGAATAATGAACTAACTTGAATTAACCCTGCAAGGGCAAGCAGTTATCTGAGTTTTCTTTCCTTCTCTGATTAAGAGCCAAGTAATGCTTGAAGTGAAGTGGGAATATAGAGATTAGAAGTATTTTACAGGAGGAAGTAGAACAGGTCCTGTGAAGGTCCTGTGGAGGGTCAGGTGTAAACATACACTTTGGATATTGTATGGGTTTCTGATGATTAATAATAATAGCATTTTCAAAGTGGTATGTTTAGAGAGTGACCTCCTCTTTCTGACTTTAAATAATGAAGAGAAAATTCTTTTAAGGGTGAGTGGAAACTATGCTACAACTTCTGTATTATAAAAGAAGCAGCAGAATTTCCTTGCGGGTTGTATTCTGTTACTTAAGGAAAGAATTTTCTTATCTTTTGTGGCCAGTCAGGCAAGTAATGTTTTAAGCTTTCTATCTTGAGAGGTGTTGGTATTTAAAAAGAAAATTGTTTATATAATACATGCGTGATGTAATTTGACTCCGTGGAGTTTTTATCTTGTCTTCAACTTTTCTACATGAATAGTTATAGTTCCCTTTTACTGAATCACTGATGTACAGATTTTGACTTATAGTGTGGTTAGATTGAAATACATTAGTTGAAAATATCCTGTCAAAAATTCATTTAATACACCCAACCTACTGATCATGATAACTTAGACTAGCCTACCTTAACTCTGCTTAGAACATTTACATTAGTCTACAGTAGGGCAAAATCATCTAACATAAAGTTTCTTTTATAAGAAAGTGTTGAATATCTTATGTAGTTTATTGAATTCTGTAGTGTGTGGAAGTGAAAAACAGAATGGTTGTATGGGTACAGAATGGTTCTTAAGTGTATCAGTTGTTTACTATCTTGATCATATTGTTGCCTGGGAGCAGTGGCTATCCACTGCTGCCCAGTATCACAGAGAGTATGGACCATGTATCACTAGTCTGGGAAAAGATAACAATTCAGAATTTGAAGTACAGTTTTTATTTAATGTGTATTGCTTTTGAACCACTGTAAAGTTGAAAAATCCTGCTTTGAATCATCTTTATAATCTTTCTTGTGCTCAAGATTTACTAGCAGGGTGGGTAAGATGACAAGCAAAGTATGTCTTTAAATTATGCCTCTTAGTGGAAGGCTCCTCTGTCCATGGGACTCTCCAGGCAAGAATACTGGAGGTTGCCATTCCCTTCTCCAAGGGATCATCCCAACCCTGGGATCAAACCTGGTTTTCCTGCATTGCAGGCGGATTCTTTACCAGCTGAGCCACCAGGGAAACCCTAGAATATTGTAAGTGAGAAAGGATTTAGTAGTAAATGGAATTGGAATATTACAAACTAAAAGCTGGAGGAAATCAGCTGCACTCTCATTGTAATGGAAGAGAATAGATGGCTGTGGGTTGGTAGATGGAGAGTTTAGCTAACCTTGATTTAAAATCAACAGGATGTTGGTGATTATTGAATGATTCATTGACTGGCTTTTTTTCTCCCCCTAAACATGTAAAAGGAATCTTAACGAGGAATAACTGGTAGAGATGACTCCGGTATAAAGTTGGTTAAACTAAATCATAGCACTGAGTTTTCAGTGGGTAGACTGGAAAAGAGTTTATCCCCATAATGGGGATAAATGTGAACTTGGCATAAAATTCACAAAGCTATCTCTTTAAATTTGTAGTAGGAACATTTGTGGTGTGTTAATTGAGGTGCTTCAGGCAACAGTGGAGCCTTTTGGTTTTATTTGATCTCATACTATTGTTGTTATCTAGCTTCCATTAATAAAAGTTACATTGTGGTTGGGACTGAACGGAGCCTTAAAGGAAAATTGTCATCTAGGTTTTTGAATTCAGTAAAATGTAATTATTTTGCTAACATCAGGAAGTTTCTGGCTGAGAAACTCAGTTATTTAAATATATTAATTCGATTGTATTAATTGTCTTTAAAGCTAATACATTTAAAGATCTGGTTTAAATTTGAGATGAAGGTAATCTAAGAGATTTTTAGGTTACTTTGGCTATATCTCTCCTTCCTACTGAAACCAGGACTAGACAGATTTATAATAATAGTATGAGTATGTGGAAGCCAATCTGTTGTGTGAGCCAAAATCTGATAGCATACGGTGGCAATTTTGATTATTGAAGGCCCTTACAATATAATTCTTCATGCCTTTTGATAGAATTTTTTCACATTCAGTGGAAAGCCTAGATCTGCTTGGCATATATGCATATATACACGTATACACACAGATACACACATGTGTCAAACATTGTCTTGTAACTTTTTAAAAACTTAAAAATATTTTTTAACACCTTCCTTGTCATTATTATTCTACCACAGCATTTCTAGATATTGTCTTTGCAACACAAATACCCTACGAAAATGTGTTATATAGATAGATAAATTTGAGAGATAATTCACACTCTCTCACCTTGTTAGAGCATCTTAAAGCTGCTTAGCCTAGGAAGAATTGCAGTTAAAACACCTATTTAATCTGGTTTATACTCATTTTTTATATAAATTCATTTGCCTACAGAATCCTTTATTTTTTCATCCAGTACCTAATAATATCTCATGGGATTTCTATTCTGCAGAACATACTTTAGAAAATACTCTTCTTCAAAATTATATTAATAGCTGCATAGTATTATGTGAATATACTACAATTTTAATCTATTGATATTATAAAAAATGCTGTGATGAATATCTTTGCAAATAATCTTTATGTATATTCATGATTCTTTTTTCTAAAAAATAGAGTAAAGAAATCAAAAAGCCTATTCCAGTATATTTCTAAGTTCATTTGTATCACTAAAAAGTTTCATGTGACTTATCTGTTTTGAATATTTTTGTTCTTATTGATAATTTTGGAATCAAATTGTGTTGACTGCTCTAAAGGCAATGAAGCTCAGGTGGACTTTTGAATCCACTGTCTTTCATTCTGTTTGATTATTTCCCTTATTTGTTGCAGCGGGGTCAGATGAACTGGATAGCTACATGTATCAGACAGTGGGTCACCATGCCATTGATTTGTATGCGGAAGCGATGGCTCTGCCCCTCTATCGCCGTACCATCAGGGGAAAGAGTGTGGATACGGGACCAGTGTACGCCAAATGTGAAGGTGATGAGGTTGAAGATCTCTATGAGCTTTTGAAACTTGTTAAGGTATGCAGAGCAACTCATTACATTTACTGAGTTTAGTGTGTAATTTGGTAAATTATATTTACTGAATTATTTAATAATAAATATTTTACAACTCTAAGCAGCCCAACTATTCTTTGAAAAGCCATTTTGTCTTTTCAGTTAGAAAACTGTTACTATGCCTTTATATTAATATTATTTAAAGATAGAATTTTTTATATAGTCTGGCACCGATAATTGTCAAATGATATTTACCCAAGTTTTCCATAGGATTTTGGAGCTAATGAACTTTCAATAATGTTTTTAGCAAACATTTTTTTGAATGCCTTATTATATGTAGTTCTAGGCTCCGGGGATAGGACAATGAACAGACAGAAAAAGTCTTGTTTTATTGGAGCTTACTTTTCTGTAGGAGACAGGTCAATAAGCAAACACATAAATTATATGCATGGTGGTGAAGAGTACTGTGAAGAAAGATGAAGCGGAGTCAAGGTAATGATGAGTGATGGCAGTGAGTGGTCCAAAAAGACCTTTCTGCTTTGGTGAGATTTAAATAGACCTAAAGAAAGAGAGACTGAGCCTTACTTTAAGTTAGTGAAAGAGGTTTATAAATTAAATACTAAAGTTTCTATATATAAGAGTTTGCAGCAATTGTGCATTCATTCTTGATTTCTCTACATGGAAAACTGAGGGAGAAAGTATGGGACTCATCTATCCAATAGGCAGTATACTTAGTAAATGTTAATTAATAGATATCCTTTTATATTAAGCAGTCATCTTTTTATTCTTATTATAGTCAACTATTTAAATACAGTTCAGTACTCTTAAAAATGAACTTTATCCAGTCAACTACAGGCAATTCATATAAGGTATAGATAGTGAAATAAATAATTTAAACCAAATATTTCCTTGATGTCTTAATATTTTTTTACAAAGGAAAGAAAATTTCTATCCCTTCTTGTACCAAGGGACATTGCATTTTATTTTCTCATTCTTTAGAAAAGTTTAGCTTTTCAGAAGCTGTTATGAACCCCTGTCATGAAAAAATTTGCTAGTTCCAAGTAGCTACTTTAATGCTATACTTCAGATTTGATGCTGATCAAAGCCTAATATTAATTAAGAATTTTGATTATAAAAATATATGAAACTCTTCAGTTCTTTTCACTTTGAAAATATCTCTTATTTTCTACATCAGTTCAGTTCAGTTTAGTTGCTCAGTGGTGTCTGACTCTTTGTGACCCCAGGGACTGGAGCACTCCAGACTTCCATATGTCCATCACTAACTCCCGGAGCTTGCTCAAACTCATGGCCATTGAGTCGGTGATGCCATCCAACCATCTCATCCTCAGTCATTCCCTTCTCCTCCTTTCCCAGCATTAGAGTCTTTTCCAGTGAGTCCGTTCTTTGTATCAGGTGGCCAAAATATTGAAACTTCAGCTTCAGAATTAGTCCTTCCAATGAATATTCAAGACTGATTTCCTTTAGAGTTGACTGGTTTGATCTCCTTGCAGTCCAAGGGACTCTTGAGTCTTCTCCAACACAGAAGACTCTTATTTTTATTTACGCTTTAAAAAACAAAACTGATAGGGAAAGAATGGTTTTATACTTTAATATTTAGAAAAAAAAATTACTGTTTGGATATGGGTAGCATAAGAGGTAAATACTTTTCAAAGGAAATCACAGGGACCTGATTTCTTCCTTCTTGGAATATTCATGCTAATAACAACTATTTTGATTATCATCATGTCTAATTCTTTGCGACCCTGTGGACTGCAGCCCACCAGGCTCCTCTGTCTATACAATTTTCCAGGCAAGAACACTGGAGTGGGTTGCCATTTCCTCTTCCAAGGGATCTTCCCCACCCAGGGATCACACCTACATCTCCTGTGCTGGCAGGTGGATTTCTTACCACTGAACCAACTGGAAAGTCCTGTTAAACAACAGAGAAGGCATAAAAGAAATTTCACTTCTCTCCGTGTGGACGACTAAGACTTTGACAACGTTCACTTTGAGGTGTGAAATACTGAGCACAAATTCTTCATTCTCAAAATTCTTCCTTGTGGTACAAAGAAACTAGGTATTAAGTTTGTAGCATAAACCAACATTACAAAATGGTAGGACTCAATACTACAGGTAATTAGGTTGCTTAAAAACCACTGATAACTGATAACTTTGGAGAAACTGTGATAATAACAACCTTCCGAGAAAGGGAAAGATAATAAATTACTAATCAATTTAATTAAAAATGGGCTGATTAGTAGTAATTAAGAAGAAATTTCCCTTTTGATACATTCTGTCTTTGTTGAAATGGATGCTTTGCCATTATCTTTATAGTAACCGTCAGTTATGACATAAATTAATGCTAATGTTAAATCTTGACAACTTCTGCTTTGGAAGTTCATACATGATAATTATAACTATAGCTGAAAGAGATGTTATCAAGTTGTCTGGGACTAAATAGTTCCTTCTTTTCCTGTGCAAAAATATTAATTTTACTATAGGATATTTTAAGGACATAAATATCAGAAATATACTGATTTTATGGAAGAGATTGTATAACCAGGCTTTTATAGTTAAATCCATTTATGAAACACTGGTGCAAAGATTCCAGTAGAGGTCTTACATATTCTAATGAATAATTGAGTAATTATGGGAAAAACGAGTTGAGAAGAGCTATAATTCTTCAAGTTCGTCTTCACTTGTTCTAAGAAAAAGGTAGAATTGCATTTTTTTAATCCTTTGAATATTAATGAATTGAAAGCATTTAGATTCATTTTCATTTTAAACATTTATTTATAACAGGTTGTAGTTTTGGGACTTTCACATGTATGTCAGACTTTTGTCTTTGTTAACTCTTTTTACCCCTAGATATTAGAGCTAGTATTTGAATAGGAGATGTTTGTTTTTTACAGAGTTTAATTGACTAATTGCTTAAAAGAAGTAGGAAAGACGTGGAAGAATTTGCAGAATTAAAGGTTTCCTAACTATCAATATTTTGTAGAAGTCATGAAAGCTAATAGAAGTGGATAAGCCTTTATGTCTTATGGATTGTCAGGTGATTATGACAGGTGTGTGTGTATATATATATATATCTCTCAAGCTGTTTGCAAAATATCTGGCTTTCATATAGCTAGTCTTTCGTTCCTTAAAATTTATTTCATATTAAAATATCAATTGATTCTCATCTGGGTTAGTTTGGCATATAGATATCTTGTATTATTCTCTACAAATATAGTAATTTTCCAATTCTGTGGGTGTCTTCTTTTAAGTCACATAAAACAATGCAATAGTTCCTGCATGATATGTCTAAATACCATAACTCTATAGAGAATATATTTAAGGATCACGTATTCTTTCTTTCTCAACTGGAGCTACTTCTTACAGGATTTGATATTGTCCTCTTTCTTGGTTTATTCCCTAATTTCAATGGAATCCATCATTAAGAGATTCCCTTAGAGAAGGAAATTCCAGTTTCCTTTCAAGTCCTTGCAGTTTGCAAATGTTCTTATTCTACCCTCATATTTGATTAGTTTGTCCATTAAATTTAATATTTTAGAATGAAGGTCACTTTTCCTCAAATCATTAAAGGCACTGCTCCATGGTCCTCTAGCATTTTGTGATGAGAAGTTTCATGCTAATGTGATATTTGTTCCTTTTTTAGCTGACTCATTTTTCTTCTCTGTTGTCTTTTATGATTGTGTCTTTATGTTTGATGTAATGAAATGTCACAGCAGCATACTGGACATTGAAAGTGGCTTCCCCTGTATCCTTTCTACAGTTTTCTATTGAGTAGCGGCATACCTCTTTCCTCTTTCTCCTAATGATTGTTTAGGGATGGCATTAATCCAGGTGAAAGCCAGTCACAGCATGGCATCCTGGCTGTAGTCATTAGTTGGGTTGGTTTTATTAATCTGCATTGTACCACATAGGATGAAACCCAAGATGACGGATTGTTGGCAGAAGATAGGGTCTTTCTCCTGTGCAGAGCAGTATGTCGATATGAGCCCTAACACTGCTACTGCTTTCTTTCTTTGGTAGAGAAAGAGGAGAGCCTGCTGTCTACTCTGACATGCAAACAGTGGCAGAGCCAGTAGGATTGCAGTGTTAGGCTGGCCCTGCAAAGTGTCCTCCCATTATTTGATAATTGTCTCCCTTTGACCTTCTTTATTCTCTTTTGCTGGTACTCTAGTTGATCACACTTTAGACCTCCCAGTTTGAATTTTCATGTCTCTTGTGTCTACTCCTGTAACTTCCATCTCTATATTTTTTTGTTGTACATTCTGTGAGGTTTCCCTTTTAAACACCCTACTTTCTTGTTGAAATTTTCTTTTTATTATAGCAATCAGGAACTTTACTTGTTTATTGATTGTTCCTTTTTAATAACAACCTCTTTTTTCTTCTATAGGTGTATTAATAACATCCTTATATCCATCTTAAAATACAGATTAGAGTCTTTAAACATTTCATTCTCTGAAATATTCATGTTTTCTTTGGGGTCTATTTTCTCATGTTTTTTTTGTCTTTCATGTTGAAGGCTTTTCTCAAATGTCTTGGTTACTTGTTTATATCTAAGAATAAGGCAAGGGGAAAGCTGAATAGATGCTTTTTTTGAGATTAGAGTTTTTCCAGCTTCACACTTCATCCTTGTTATATGTGGAGCTCAGGATAGTGTGGCCTTGTTTAATTCCTTTCTTGGCTTTCTTCTCTCCTGTACAAACTGGGTTACAACTTCCTCTGTTGATTTATCAGTCATTGTTCCTTCTTCTGCTGCTTTCTGACTCAAGAATCTAATTGAAATCCCTACTCCATTGATGTCTCCCCCCCAGTTTTCTTTGTTTTTTAGAGGTTATAACTTTGTTTTCATTTTAATGGAATCTCTTGATCCAGAAATCTGTGTTAATTTCATTCTAACGAAATTCATTTAATATTCTTCCCTAAGTTGAATATTCAGTTTCAATCTTCTTCTAATCTTTGATACTTTTCTTGTTTCATGTTCCTTTTTGCATTAGGCATTTTATATTGGT